GGAGATTGTCGATGAAGATGCAAAAATTCAATTTGTTTCTCTTTATCTCTCAGGCATCGCTATGCTTTGGTGGAGAAGAAGAAAATGAGATGTAGAGAAATGTTTGTGCACCATGTCTACTTTCAATGACTTCAAGAGGGAGCTAAAGAGACAGTTCTATCCCAAGAATGCCGAAGACGAGGCTTGAGCCCGGCTGCGAAGGCTTAAGCAAGAAAGTTTGATTCAAGACTACATCAAAGAGTTTACAAGCCTAGTTCTTGAAATCCCAGATATATCAGGTAAGGATGCTCTCTTCAACTTCATGGATGGGTTTCAACCTTGCCACTGCCGTCGCGGTTGCCGAAAGCTTGGTTGATTATTCGAAGGAGCCTAGAAAACCCGAAGATAAGAAGAGTTGCAGCATCAAAGGTGGGGATGACAAGGGCAAAAACAAGGAAGAGAAACGTCGTGAATCAACTCCAACAAAGGCAAGGGATAAGGGGAAGACCAACAACAAGCCATATCAAAACTACTGCTTTCTTTGTGAAGGACCTCATTGGGCAAGAAATTGTCCTCAAAAGAAGACCCTCAACTCTCTCCTTGCAAGCCATAAAGAAGAAAGTGACAGGGAAAATGACGTGGAGGCACATGTGGGATCTCTTCAACAGCTGAATGCAATGCAAGCTCCAACAAAACCCCAAGGGAAGGGGTTACTCTTTGTGGAGATGACAATAGGAGGGAAGACTACCAGGGCAATGGTAGATACGGGGGCTTCCCACAACTTCATCTCCAGTTAGGAAGCAAAGAGATTGGGATTGCGGATGACTAAAGGAGGGGGCTCTATCAAAGTCATCAACTCAGCAGAGATGCCGATCGACGGAGTGGCTAAGGGAGTCAAGACCAGCATTGGGGCATGGTCAGGTAATCTAGATTTCTCTGTCATTCCTTTGGATGATTACAAAGCTGTCCTGGGAATGAACTTCTTAGAGCAAGCAAGAGCATTCCCAATGCCATTTGCCAATAGCCTATGCATCACAGAAGTGCTCAATACCGATAATAAGGTTAAGCAAGCAATGCTCCAAAATGTTATCGGCAATCCAGTTCAGGGATGACATTTCACAAGACAAGGAGGACAACTTGGCTATCGTTCATAATAATGAAGGAAAAAAGTCCCAATGAGTTGGGATGTCAAGGAACGTGGTGGAGGTAAGAGATAATCCGCCAGTCAGGAAGACGTGTTGCACCCAGGAGAAGCCAAAAATTGCCAAGTATGGTGCCAAGTAGAAGAGGCAGTTTCGAAGGTGCAGGGGAAGCCGGTTTGGAAGTTGCAGGGAAAGCCGCAATGAGGGCATTGCGGGTTTAAGTGGAGGAGAGTGTCACGCTCCGCTATATTCGAGAAATTGTCAAGACGAGCACAAGATGAAAGATTCTAGAGAAGGAGAGAAGGTCAGAATATAGCAAAGGGGTTCTAGAAGATTCCGCCACGGGGCTCTAGAAGATTCCGCCACATTCAGGAGAGAGCAAGAAGGAAAAGCTCTAAAGAGAATCTAAAAATAACCTAGAAGATTCTAGAGTTATGTATGTACATAAGAATAGTCTAAGAGAATATAGAATATTATATTGTAATCTAGAAGCTTCTCTTTGACATGGAATAGTCCCACATTGGCTAGATGAAAGGCCAAAGACATGGAGGAGGTTATAAATAGGAGCTCCTCCCCTCATTTGTAATTACCCAAGCATTGAATCAAAGCATTCTCGTATTCAAGTGCTAATTATTCCTTTCTCTCTATTATTTTTCTTAAGAGTGCTTGGGGCTCATAAGTCCAGTGTTGTGAGGGGTAAGGTTAATTTTGTGCTAAGAAAGAGCGCTAAAGCCGCACGGGTGACTTGAGGAAAGTTAGTCCGTGACAATTCTCTCTCCTTTTTTTATTATTTTTATTATTTTAATAGGATGTGATAGTGAGAGAGAGAGGAAGAGAGACATGCGTATGGTATGAGATACAATTGTTTAATAAGATTTATTTTATTTTATTTATATATAATAATAATAATAATAATATTAATAATATTAATAATAATATTATTATTATTATCTTCCCCATATCTTTCGTTCGAACTTTATATTATAGTGAAATGAATGTCTCCTCTGAGTAAAATCGGCGTTTTGGAAGCGATCGCGCAGTCCGTTTCGCAGTTCAGGGTTTGTCATACTATTTTTTGTGTATTTAAAGCCTGCATGCGAAACCATCGTGCAACAAATGGTCAAGAATTGGTTTTATGGGTGTTTGAAATGATTTTGGAGGATTTGAGAATTTTTTGTCTACGAGTGACATTTTGGTAATTTTGGCCAACTTTGGTCAAAGTGGTCAAAAGATTGATTTAAAAGCTCGAGGTGGTTCAGGAAGAAATTTGAAATCAAACAACAGTATTCAGCATTTTGATCAATGTGGAAGGTTTTATGATGCCCAAAGCATTATTTTTTTTAAGTACTCGTTATTTTGGTCTCGAGGTATCAAAAAATTGTTCTGACGTATGACAATATTACAGTCAAAATTCTCAGGAAGACATAAGGAATAATTTGGTATAATTTTTAGAACTTATTGGTGAATGTGGAAGATTTAAGAAATTTTGATAATTTGTGGGTTCATGGGCATTTTGGTATTTTTTTTGGGAAAATTGGGTATTTTTGCAATTTTTGGGTTTCAAATGGTCTAAATGATAGTATCAAATGGATTGAAGTGAATTTTATTATTCAATGACAGTTTTGAGGAATTTTGAAGAATTGAAATATCTAAGTGGGGTATTTTAGGGGAAACTATGTTCAAATAATTTTGGTCAGCCCCATGGGTATAATGATTGCAACATTATGATATGAAAATACAATGATTATGATGATTATGAATGATGATGCAATTTATTGAAGTTCAAAAAGGTATAGAACAGTGCATGGTTCTCCTATGGTCCATAGGCCCTATAGGAATTCTCATCAGGGTTCCCTTATGTAATCTCTAATCTTTGTATTAAAGATTATTGATCACATATAGAACCAACATAGAAAACAAAGACTTGGTTGAAATGTCTAAGGAGAAGGTGGATACCATTTCTAAGATGCTAAGAGAGTCATTAAGAAGTCCTAATGCTATATCCTAGTCACTAAAGGAAAGACCCAAAACCCTCACCCAAAAGTGAGGTCAACAAGGAGGAAGCTAAACATTAGATTTTCAATCATATAGGATTGCAATATTGGTGCCCCTCAGCCGCATACTAAAATATTAGATGCAAGGAGCCAAAAAATGAAAATTTGAAGCTTTATATGAAGGATATTAAAAAGACACTTGAAGTTTCATAAGCATGAAAATAGTTTTTTTTTTGTTGTATGTAAATGGTTGATGCGAAATTCCTATCTTCTTTCCTTTCACACGATAAGGAAGCTGAGGCAATAATTTGGGGTGTCATTTCTTGTTAATCTTCTTCTTCTCTACTTGTGCAGAAAGTCCCCATAACTATCTTTCACTGACATAGGGTTCTCTTATTTTCTATAATTTTTTTTTATAAAAAGATAATTTTCTTTGAAACTTTGTTAGCTGTTAATATTAATGTTGAGTGTTTCATTGGTATTGCAATGGAGGGCTGGAAATGTACATAACTTGTATCCCCTTTTATATCATTAAAAAGAGAATACTGTGTTGTCATGTTCATGTCGATGCTAAAGTAAGGGGTAGACGTGGGAAAAATTCAGCTTTATCTTGGGCTTTATATCCTTATATAGAAAGGATATGCGTGAAATTAATAATGAATAAAAGAGAAAAAACTGTCTTGTCTTTACAGTTAGTGATTTTTGGTTTAATTTCTTCTTCTTTTTTTGTTTGCGCATGTATTGTCCTATGCCTTATTTATTTACTCACAAAGTTCAGTTTCTTTGCCTACTACCACGATAAAAGGGTAGATTTCTTTCTATTTTTTCCTACGCCTCCTAAATATCTTATTCTCTCTAGCTATTTCCTCTCATTTTTTGTCTTGATTATTTAATTCAAAACATATATATCTTATTCTCTCTAGCTATTTTCTCTCATTTTTTGTCTTGATGATTTGATTCAAAACATATAAAATTAGTTTCATGACAGTATAAACCTAGTACACTTAATTGGTTATTGATAAATATTCACTTCTTGCAATGTTTTCTTATGAAAGTTATGATTACTCGTGATTGATTTTAAAATGCTTGTTTTAAAGGACCAACTTGCTACTGTTTTTGTTCTATTTCTTCAAGGCTTAAGTTACTGGCTATTTTTTTATTTGTTATGTGAGGATGTGATACTAAATTTACTCTTTTATGCAGACAAAATATTTAATGGACGAAATGAGGGATAAGTGTGATTCAGAGATTGACAGTATTTCCTGGAAGAAGGAACTGGTAGATCTTCCCCTACAAATGAATTCGTGAGTCTGCTTCTTTTTACAAATGATGTAGCCTTTTAATTTTTACTTTTAATTTTAACTTGAACTGCTATTTCTTGCATTTATCTGCTCTTGAGGTGCTTTTTACTGCTTGGTTATTTTTGAGTCCATAATCAATCTACTGTTTATATTCCTTTATATTTACAACGATGTTTTACTAAAAAATTAATCAAAATGGACGTCTTTAATAGGTACAAATTATTTACATGAAAAGCAGTAGCAGAGTATACTTGGCTAGTCTAAAAACATCAAAATTCCTTCATGCGGAATGCTATGCTATGCCACAATACTTGAAATAAGTGTTATTATAACACATTTCACTTATACATTATGCTATTAATATTATCACAACTATATATTATCAATTTTTTTTTCTGATCAAAGCATTCTGATACCTATCACCTATGTTAATGCTTTTGTTTTTGATTAACTATACATCAGTGGTTTTTGGCCAAAACAGTTAATTGCATTAGCCACTTCGATCGTTATTGGAAAAAAAATGGGAAGAAATGATCTGAAGTAGTGAATAGATCTTTAAAATTATCAGCTTGCTAGCTAGCTGAACCTTTTTAATCACCTGCTTCAATAACCTTATTAAAGTATTATTTGGGTCTAAACTTGATTTGGCCCCCGACATGGGGTGAGACTGACAAGATGAGTAGTTTGGGGAAGATGATTATATATATATATATACAGAGAGAGAGAGAGAGAGAGAGAGAGAGAGAGAGATTCAATTAGTGAAGTTGACTTGAAAATCCACTCCCTCCCCTCCCTCTCCTTGTTATTATTTTATATCTCTAAAGAATTATAAGAATAAAAAAGAAAAAGAAATTCTCATGTGATTTACAAGGTATTTATATATAATCCATGGAATGGTCGCTTCACAGATCATTCTAAGGCCATGCTAAAGTAAGTTTGACCTTCTACCATCTCATCCTCTTTGATCCCCTCTCATTGGTAACTTCTCATTTAGAGAGAGAAACAACATGAACGAGTATAACTCTAGTAAATTTTTAAAACATTAAATGTGGTCCTAAACAAGGCTTTGAACTCCATATGTACAAAGAGAAATATTTCAGGTTCTAAATTGGTTATGCGAGTGCTCAGTGAAGTATAGTTCCGGCATATTTTCATCTAAAATCATTCGATTGTAATTTAAGGAATATCTTGCACAATCATATCATAATAATAGCGTATCACATTCAAAGGTCATACAGCCTACAAAAATCACATGTAGTACCTACAGTGTCGATCCTCTATACTTAAGGTTACTCCACCTTTTTGAATATTTATTATCTAGGTAACATAGGGAATACTGGCATATTTTCATTTAAATTCATTCAATTAGACTGTAACAAGTTGCATATGCTATTATATTATAAAAATAGTGCATCATGTTCAAAGGCTTCACAACCTCCAAAAGTTACACGTAGAACCTATGGGGTCATACCTCTCTATTATGAAGGTTATGCCAAAGCAATACCACTCTAGCCACCACAACTGCTTATAGATTCTTTGCATGATATAAAATACAAGTGAGCTTATTTATTTTATTTCCAAAGCCTTTATTTGTTTCCATAAACCACTAAAAAAAGGTCGTGCAATAAATGATAGTTATCAGTTAACATGGATGATCTGATTATTGCAACAATTATTAAACGTCTTAACATTTTTATCACACGTTATGGATCATTCACAACATAAAAGAGAACTAGGAACATCGTTAAAATTTATGGTATATGAACAGGTACTTGATTAAAATTGTCGAATAGAAAATATGAGAGGTCAAGCTTTTCTTTCAAGTTTCTGGTAATTCTTGTATATTACTAAAATACTTCCTCTAACTCCCATTTTTCTTGGGATTGAATAGTTTCATATTCTCAACCCAAGCCTCTCAGGTTTTTCCTTTCTATCCTATGTATTTCCTTCTCGAATTCATATATTTCATAGTTATATTTATTGCTTAATTGCCAGATATATGTACGTCTATTATTTATAACTGGCTATTGAGGACGTCAATCTTAAGAAGCATGTCACCCCTTATACATGATCTCCAACTAATTACATGCATGCCACATGATCTTTTGCTATTGCCACCTAAGGCTACATCTTTTGTCCGTAGTTAATAATAGTCGTAGGGTCTACTTGTGCCTATAAAATCGTTTTATGCTACTCATATTAGGAGGCATACTGGTCATAAAGGGGAATATGTTGGGGAAAAGCTCTACTTGTGCCTATAAAATCGTTTTATGCTACTCATATTTGGAGTCATAATGGTCGCAAAGGGGAATATGTTGGGCAAAAGCTCAAGATAGGGAGGGAGAACCAAACTTCATTCTGGATGCATCTCAAATTTCATTTATAAAAGCTCCCTAACATTGGTTTTGTGAAATCCACTCAGCTATTAGGGATTCCTTTCTTCTTTTCCTAACCAAACTGTCATGTATTTTGTGTTTAATAACGTAATGAATATTGGAAAGATGTCCTTCACTATTGTGGATGTAGGTGGCGATCATCTATCAATTTTATTTAATCTTTTGTTAACTTCTCTTTTCTATAACATCTAGGTATATATTGTTCATAATATTTATTTTGAAATTCATTTATTGAGTAAATTCTGGTTTTTCCTCTAATTTAAGCGGTCATTGATCTCCATTTTTTATGTCATGTTGGGTTTGGAGGAAAAAATTGTGCCATTATGAGAATCATCTTCAACTAGATGGTGATACCGAAGATAACTCAAATAACAATAAGCAAATAAATATTATTACTGAAAAGCCAATAAACAGTTACAACAGATACATGAAAATGGAAAATAATAACAAACATGATACATAAACGCACACTGTGGTGGTGGTGGTGATCGGCTAGGGTTTGGACCTCCATAAAAGTAGTAAAAGGCGGTTGGAAGGCTGGAGGTGGGGCTGCAACAAGGGGGGTGATGGTGGCAGCAAAGGGAATGTGAGAAATTGTCAGTACGGCGAGAAGGCGGGCTGTTCTGGGCGGTGGCAGCAAGGACGAGGGGGACTGGACAGCGGCCAAACAGCAGGAAAAGTGCTGTTTTGGACTGCGGCAGCAAGGGAGGCAGGGGGAGGAAGCAAAGGGGAATGCGGTGGACTGAAGGACGGCGAAAGGATGGCTGTCCGGGACGGTGAAGGTGAAGAAAAGGGGAAACCGTAGGAAAAACAGCGGTATGTGGCTGTTTGGGTGGCTGGAACATGGAAGGGGCAGCCCGGGAGTGATGTGGGGCTCGTGTTCGGCTCGTTTATATTTTGAGCTCAACAAGTGTGTTCGTATTCGACTTGTTTGTTTAGCGAGCCGAAGACGAGCCGTTCACGAAATAAGAGTTGTTTTGACAACCCTAATCACGTAGCAATAAGATGTTAAGGATTGTGAAAAGATTTAAAAATTATTGTTTATATTAAAACATTATTTGAATATAATTTAATATTTTTTTTTCTATTCTCTTTATTAATACTTTTAATTGATTATAAATCTTTGTAGCCTTGTAGTCAATTAAATTTTTTAAAAATACTACTCATCAATATATATATATTTGATGAGTAGTATTTCAAGTCAAAACGAGCCGAACATGAACAAACAAATTTTGGTTCATGTTTGACTCGCTAATTTAGCGAACGAGCCGAACACGAGTTGTTCGCGAACAACTAGCCGTTTTGACAGCTCTAGATGTGGGGAAGCTGCAGAAGGGGATGGGAAAGATGCAAGCGGCTATCCCTTGGATGCAACCCTTGACGGAAGAAACGGAGATGCAAGCAGCTATCCCGAACAAACTCACACAAAACCTAGCCCCTAGACTACTCGATAACGAATAAATAATAATAGGATAACTAGTCGACTCCTCAGAAGGGACAAATTCTGGATCGGTTCGGTCCAAGCAAAGTAGTTGCTTACATTTATGTGAACTTGTGTGCGGAACACAATTCTTCTTTCGCCTTTGGATGGTGTTAGTGCAGGGGGTACGCTTGCGTGACATGGTTCACTAAAATGAAAATAGTTTAATATCTCTTGGACAACCATTCATTGACCCTGAATAACGATAAGATAATTTTTGTATTATGGAGCATATATTCTTACGAGGCCATTTTGATCACATTGAATTCTCTTATAGCGTTAAAGAGAGTCTATGTTGGGGGAGGGGACCAATTTGCCAACTCATTATCATGTGCAACATCAATAGAATGGTTATAAAGGCCATGCAATAAAACCAACAACTATTCTAATTCTCTAAAAAAAAGTTCTAACATCACAAATATCATCACACTTCCTTAACAATAACAACCAACTAATAGGAGATGCACCCCTAAATTTGAGCTACATGTGGCATTTGTTTATTTATTTTATTTTCTATATTCAATAATAAAAGAATTACTGTTGAACTTTTCTCAAATAATGTACTAAACAATTAGTTTTTAACACTTAAAAATATATTTTACTTATAAGTTATAAAAGATAATTAAGGCATAGCCCTCCTTTTTCATTTTGTTTCAGTTGCAACAAAGCATTTGTCTTTAAGTAGGATTTTTTTGCACCTAAATGTTGAAAGCTCCAAATAAGTAACCTAAAGAGAAACTTTGCAATATTAATGAGCCATAATAGCACAAGCCCGTGTCACAAATAAGTTGTGAAAAAGTTTCCAAATCATAGTTTTGAAAGCCAAGGTAAATAATAAGAAAATTCATGCAAAACATGCTCAACTAGCCATATGCTCAACGTAAGTGCTGTGTTCAATCCAATCCATTTGAATCTCATTAGTCATTTCCTATTTTGGAAATAATCTATGGGGCATAAAAAAGGGGCTTAAAAAGGAGGGAGAGTAAAATCTCCTTTTTCAACACTATTCAAAAGGGAACATTATAAATTCTTATAAAGGGAATATCCTGCTCAATACAATAATCAACCTAATCAACCTTGAATCTACTTGGCCCTTCGAAGTGTTCAATATACTCTCGAAAACCCTATCAATATCCTAAATCTAATATGTTGTAGTGCAATCTACTCGGATTCAACCTGGAGAGAAGTTTTTTTCTAGTTTTTTGTTGCAATATAGGCTAATTTGAGGTCAAACCTTAACTATCACATGGATGTTATGAGAGTTACCATGGCCCCTTCACAAGTTCAACACCCATCAGTAGCTTGTAAATCTCGTAATTGCTTTTGTAGATCACCATTATAGCTTAGGACTCATGTCCATAGATAGAATGAATGAACATTTTTTCTTTTGTTGTCCTATATACTATAGGTATCCCAAATAGGGAGAAAGTCGTAACTGGATTTCGCTGTTCCCATCTTTGATATAATTGTTAACTCACAAAAAATGAGATGTCTAACTCATTGATTGAGTTAGCAAGAACTCATTTTTGTAGCTTGAATGCTTCTTCTACCATTGAGTTTTTTTTTTTTTTTTTCTTGCTTGAATTTCTTCTCGGCTAGTAAACCCAAGGCTTCTTAATTTACTTTTTTATCCAATGCCTATTCTTGAGGTATATTTACTCCATTAATAGGTCGATGCTTTTTTACCACTTAAAGGAGCCATTAAGGATTTAACCCCTTAGAAGTATTGTCATTGCTTTTTCATGATCTCCAAAACATCGTGTACATGCCATGTGAATTATTTTCTTCCTCCCTAAAACTTCACGTATTATACATACAATTATACAATAACTCAACTCAGTGAATAGTTTGGTCTTCTTTGCTATAATGGATGTCGGCGCCATTCACCAAATGATTATAAATCTCATCTTTATTTTGTATTGTGATCGTATATTATCACTTGCATTAACATAATATATATATATATATATATATAAAGATCACGTATAGTTGTTATGTAATAAGTTTAATCTTGAGTGTCTTCCCAATTTTATCTAACTCCTCTATATACATTCTGTTTCATCAATCAGGCAAATAGTTATCTCCATTCAGTGTAAATTTTTAGAGAAGTTGCCTCAACTGTGCTTCTCTCGAACTCTGAAAACAAAAATTCATCACTCTCACTCTATCTTTAAGGCCTCGTGAAGTGGTGTCAATTTCCCTTCAATGAATTGGACTCTCATTTATAGGCGATTTAAGAGGAAAAGATTGTTGAAGATTTATGCTTGTGGCATCTTCAGTTGTCTCTTCCCGACATTGGAAAATGACAACGTGATGTCAAGTTGCATACCCCCGATATGTGGTAAGATTTTCCAATGGTTATGACATGTGAATGTGTGGCGCTTCAATCGCTATTAAGGTTCATACCATGAAGGATGGGGTCTAAGATATAAATTTTGGAAAATTGTTCGAAAGGATAAATTGTTGTAGGAATTACAAGCAAGCTTGAAAAGTTGAGTAATTACTTAGTTAACATCCCAATCTTTATTACTCGGTTATGAGTACAACTACTCAACAATGTGTGACTGCTCAAGCAAGTTCTAGTATTGGAGTCAGTTAGTTGCCTATGCTGAGTAGCCCAGGCTGAGTACCACAAGTTAGCACTAACTACTTGGGCATACGAGAGCCAACTACACATTCAACAAAAATCTATCTGAAACTACTCAAAACAATTTGGTATGCTTAAAATTGAATTGGCAAGTCAAGTCAAATATTGAGTAGTTGATTATTTTGCTCAAGGTGAAATGAAATTGATTCAAATAAATTTGATTATGGCTCATGATGGCTCAAACTTAAATTACTATTTTGATTCAATCTAAATATGTTGAGCACTTTCTCACAGCTCTTGTTCGTTTTGCCCTCCTGATCTCTGATTTTCCCTTCCGGCAAATCTATACTTTGCCCGATATTAAAGGTTTTTGTATGATGGCAGTTACTACACAGTGATTCTGGTTTGTCAGTTGTGGTTAAATTTGCATTTTATCTTGCTTTTTGCACGGTAGGCTTGGCTATTGTTTCCATTTGTCCCTCTGTTATTGTAGTTATTAGTATATCTTGCTTAAAAACGGTTTCTAAACCGATGCTTCTTTGCCAATAGGTATGATTGTGGGATGTTCATGATCAAGTACGCAGACTTCTACAGCAGAGGTTTAAAGCTGTGTTTCAGCCAGGTGATAGTCTGCCAGGCTTATTTCTATGATTATGTGACCTGGTTACATCCTGTGTGCTTTGCACTACAGCATGTATGCTCAATGGAGCGCATTCTTCTTAACGTTTTCAGACTAAAAAAAAAATTCCTCGTCTTTGTATTTTTGCAGGAGCATATGGAGTATTTCAGGAAGAGAACAGCCATAGAGATCCTTAAACTCAGAGCTGAGTAAAGCAGCAATAGAGTTTAGTTTTTTTATGATTAAAACACTAATCAGAGCAGATTGCTGGAGGAAGCATTTGTGCTCGGTGGCCACGCATTGTTTGATAAATGTTGGGAGAGCTGGGAAAAGGATTGTGCTGTGGGTTGAATGAGAGAGGGCAGATCGTTTCGTCAAGGAGATTGATGATGCATTTTAATGTTTCCAGGGTGATTTTTGATGGGTCAGTATGATTTGTTAGCTCTCCGTTTATCTATATATATACATTTTATATGATGTTAGTAGAAAGTAGTTGAGACTAATTGATTAGGTTCAATAACTTGTTCAAAAATAATAATAAATGAATTTGTATTAAGTTGAATTTCAAACCAATTGAACTTATTGAACTTGATGAGTGGAAATTCAAGTAAACACGTATCGACCTTCTTAATAAGTAATCCAACCAAATTGGTGTCTCATGAAATGTCCAAGCTTCAATTTAAACAATACAAATTAGTGTGATTATTGATTGTTTCAGACACGTGGCCCGTTTAATGCGACATTTATAATGTGGTTGGCCGAATGGCGCTAAATAATATGGAATTGAGATTTTTGGTATCATATTTATGGATTATCCGACCGGGGTAGGTGCTGGCTGGCCGTCGCCATCCCTCTCTCATGACCTATCTAAGCTCAATCAAACTTCCAAGGTTCTCCACTATTTTTTTATTTTTTATTTTTTAACTTTTTTTATGCATCCCTCATCCTCAAAACTTATTTTGTTTTCAAAAACTAATCTTGTACATTTAATGAACATACATTTGCTAATGGAGACAGAGTTCATTTACGTGTAGCAAGTCAAGCTAATCAATCATATCGGGAGAAGTATTTATATATCATATTCATGTAAAGGTCTGGGTATCGGGGGCAATTTCTGACGCCAAAAGATCCTGTTTCCATAAAACCTAGATACTAGATACTAGATGAGCCACGAGCCTGGAATACCTTTTAACTTTTGGCTTCTCTTGTATAAAACATTTTTTTTATTTGATTGGTCCAAACATGTCCTATCAAGCTTTTCGGGATACCGTGTATAACTTCATGCATTTGGGCCCTATTTACAACATTAAATTTTAACTTTATATACATACATATATGTACAATATGGCCTTTACACTCTCAAAACGGAACATTGATTTCTAATTATTTTATAAATCGGCATGCACAGCACAGTAGATCAATGGCTTGTATATACATAGGAAGAATATTAATATGCAAAAAAAAGATATTTAATCTTGAATGGAAATTTATTCATTTCATATTAAAACTTATTAAATTAATATAATATCATGGATGAATCCTCACTTGTCCTGTGAAGCCTGCTCAAAAATAAACTTGGGGCAACTAGAGAGGAGAGAAGAGAGACACAAAGAGGGAGAAAGTGAAACCGTTGAAGTTCAGAATAATGCGGAATAAAGTTGAATATTTTATTATTTCTTTTTGATATGGACGTGGGGTACAAATAACTCTTACAAGAATTTTATAATAGGAAAAATGATAAAAAAGAAATGATATGAAAGAAAAGATATATCACCTGATATCTTCAATAATTAATTCATATTAATTATTAGAAGATATAGAAAATAACATAAAATAGGAAAACAAATAATTTCTAATCCAAGGAAATAAATATAAAATACGAAAAAAAATGTTTCCTTATATTAAGAAAATAATTATTCATCATAACTTCTTATAGGAATAAATTATTTCATATTCTAATTCTTAACAGAAACAAATAAACACACACAAACTTCTCCCGTATGTGCGAACTAGGGTATTCCCATGCTCTATGACTCATTTTCTATATAAAATGGAAAAAAAGAATTACAAGGCAAAAGGGGAGAGAGATCTCCCTACAAATTGTGGATCTAAAAAGAGCCAAAAGCCTAAAGACCAAAAGCTCAGAGGCAAAAAAACCCCTCATACATGTTATGGACCTCCAATTTATAAGAGATAAAGGGTCAAAAATACAAAAATTATATGCTTTCCTAGCTTTAATACAAACGTTACGAGATATTATATTCTTTGTGCGTATTAGAGTTTGTTGGTTGATATCCCTTTAGTCGTTTGTTTGCCTTTCGATCATTTGGCACACATTTGGTTATCTAACTAAATTTTGGTTGCTAGGCAGAGCTTCAATCGTCTGACATACCTTCAGTACCGACGAATGACCTCCTCCAATGGAAGACTTCTCCATCTATGGAAGACTTATCACCCTAACGGAGGACTTTTTCCTCTAATTGGCCACCAGAACTCGACTTCTCCTGACAAAAAAACCCTAAAAGGTCGATGAAGTACCCAACATAACACATCGATAAAAAAGTCTAAAGTATCATGTATTATCATAATCATGTTGTGGTATATAAGTCTTAACTCTTTTAGGATTCTATAATTATTTGTTTGGTACGACGTAAAGCTTCATATTCAAACGCATTTGCCCCGGAGAGCTCAAGTCTTTCTCTCCTTTTATTTTCTTCTGTCTTTTTCTCTCATGTGTTCTTAAGCTGACAAGATCCAAAGAAAAGATTTAGATTTTATATGAGTATGCAAAATCATATTTCATATTCAAAAGTTTAAATAATAATATTTGTGATGGCATATGGATGTAAAAAATAAAATTGAGTGATTAAGATATCAAATATATAAATACATAGAATTTGGATGATATTTATGGGTATTTATATGCCTGTCTTTTATAACGAGTGTCATTCCAGATGGCGAAAAATCAGGAGACAAAACTGACCTAGTGAGTGGAGAAAAAAAAAAACTCCCTTTTATAAGCTTTATGAACATGGAGGAGAGTTGGAAGTTAGAATGGACCGCAAAAAATGTCAGTCTTCCTCGACCTGCCCCATTAACCACCGTTTTTTTACATGTTACAAATCACTATACAAACAAATATAAAATCAACGTTTCTCTGCCCCATGACGATTCAATAATGCGAAAAAAACATAATACTCTTCTTCATTAATCTAATCAATTTGTTCACCGCATATTTTTCGGCCGGCTCGGACTCCATGCACACACCTCCCACCGCCACAAATAACAACCTTTCCCCTCCGCTCCTCTCCACCCTTTACATAGACGGCTGCCCCAAGACAGCTCTTTGGTGGCGGCGAGCATGCCGTCGATCACCTCCCTCTCCTGCTCACCCCTCCCCCCCCGCCGGCGCCGGCCAGCTCCTCTCCTTCATCTTCCTCTCACCCTGCCCACAGCGCGCTCTCTTCTCCCTACTCGACCTCCTCTTCCTTCTAACCCTCCTCGTTTTCGCCGTCCAGAAGCTCCTTTCCCGCCGCCACAACGAATCTAATTCCGACGCCGCCAAGCCGCTCCTCCCTAGCTTCTCCCCCGTTCGCACCACGTGGCGCTTCATAATCCCCCTGGCCATCTCCTCCATCCTCGCCGCAGCCTTCCTAGTCTTTCTCGTCCTTGCCGCCCTAGATAGCTCTGCCCCCTTCCCCTGGCGCCCTGTCCAATCAATCTTCTTCTCCCTCCAGTTCCTCTCCCATCTCGCCGCTGCTGCCGTCGTCGCTCACGAGAAGCGCTTTCGCGCTCTCTCCCACCCGCTAACTCTCCGACTCTTCTGGCTCTTCTCCTTCCTACTGTCAGCCCTGCTCACCGTCTCCGCAATCCTCCGCCTCTTCTCTTCATCCCCCATCATTACAGATGACATCACCTCCCTCATCTTCCTCCTCTTTTCTGCTGCACTCCTTGTCTCCGCCCTCTCCCCTTCCACCGGTTTCTATTCCCACCCTTCTTCTTCTTCATCCCCTGCCTCCCCGTTAGCTGCAGACACCAACACATCGAACCCCGAGTCGAAACCGAATGTGACTGCCTACACCACCGCGCCCCTTCTGTCCCGCCTCACCTGGAGCTGGATGAATCCTCTCCTCGCCAAGGGCTACAAATCTCCGCTTAAGCTGGAGGAAGTGCCCTCCCTTTCACCTGAACATCAGGCCCAGCGCCTCTGCAATATCTTCGCCGCTAACTGGCCTCGCCCCGCCATCAAATCCCATCACCCCGTACGCACCGCGCTGCTCCGATGCTTTTGGTCGCAGCTTCTGCTCACAGCATCGCTCGCCGTCCTCCGTCTCTGCGTGATGTACGTGGGCCCCACTCTCATCAACCGCTTCATTGACTTCGCCTCCGGCCGCCGCTCCTCCATCTACGAGGGCTACTACCTCTGCCTTACGCTGCTCCTCGCCAAGTTCGTCGAAGTCCTCTGCTCTCACCATTACAACTTCCACTCGCAGAAGACCGGCATTCTCATCCGCTCCACTCTCATCACCGCCCTCTACCGCAAAGGCCTCCGCCTGTCGTGCTCTGCCCGCCAATCCCACGGAGTCGGCATGATCGTCAACTACATGGCCGTCGACGCCCAGCAGCTCTCCGACATGATGCTTCAGATCCATTACATCTGGCTCATGCCTCTACAAGTGGGCGTCGCCCTCGCCCTTCTCTATGGCTACCTCGGCCCCTCTGTCACCTCCGCGATCGTCGGCATCGTCGCAGTCATGACATTCGTAGTCTTCGGCACCAGGCGCAACAATCACTTCCAGTTCTCCCTCATGGGCATGCGCGACAAGCGAATGAAAGCCACCAATGAGATGCTGAATTACATGCGAGTCATCAAGTTCCAGGCTTGGGAGGAGCATTTCAACAAGCGCATACAGAGCTTCCGATCCGAAGAGTTCGGCTGGCTCTCCCGCTTCATGTACTCCATCTCCGCGAACATTATCGTGCTGTGGAGCGCGCCGGTGGTCGTCGCCTCCCTCGTGTTTGGAACCTGTATTGCCGCGGGAGTCCGTCTCGACGCCGGGATCGTTTTCACCGCCACATCTTTTTTCAAAATTCTGCAGGAGCCGATGCGCAACTTCCCCCAGGCTCTCATCTCGGCCTCTCAGGCTATGATCTCGCTCGAACGGCTCGACTCCTACATGACCAGCGGGGAGCCCGCCGCCGGCGAGCGGGTGGCGGGCTGCGACGACGTCGACGCTCCGGCCGTGGAGGTTTGCGAGGGGAGCTTCGGGTGGGAGGATGACGCGGACGCAGACACGGCTTGGCTGAAGGGCGTGAATGTGAGGATCCCTCTCGCGGAGCTCTGGCCGCCGTGGTGGGGACAGTCGGGTCCGGCAAGTCCTCCTTCCTCTCGTGCCTGGTGGGTGAGATGCGCCGTGTTTCGGGAAAGGTATTAACTTTTTTTTGGTGTCGTCG